CGAGACAGGCAGTGGGAAAGTTCAAAGCGTTTATTAATCAAAACAGGTGCTCGGGGCTGCTCGTCTGCTGCGGGGCGGATCTCTGATTCAAAGTTCAGTCCGTTCGCGGAGCTTTGACCGCAGTTGCGGCAGCCACGCCCCCAGACTTCCTAGAGAGCGAGCAGCAGACGCCGAGCAGCAACAGAGTCCAGAAGGGAAATCCAAGGCCGAAGTCCAGTGACGTGCGGTCAGGGGAGGCAGGTGAGGCAGTGCCTCACCAGCCATCATGGAAAGAAAGAAAATATATAATCATAAAGTAATTTAAATTGTTATATTCATCCGGTGGTTTGTACTAAAAATATTCATTTTTCATGTAGCTTCACCAATTTCGATTTTTATTTGTTCAAAATCGCTGAATTTTCTTATTTTCCCATTCAAATGCTTGGAAGCGATGCCGGTGAGGCAGCAGCGAGCTCTGCCTCACCTTGGATTGCGCAACCCCTGGCTCTGCGCTGGCTGCAAAGCGGAGAGAGCATGTTGCTGTACGGCGTCAATAAAATGGTTTAAACAAATGTAATATGTGAACTTATTTCTAATAATTTGGCTTATGTATATAATGTACAGAGCTTTTTGTCACCAACTGTGTTTGTGTAACGTGTTTCGTGTAATGAGCGATTATAAACGGCAGAGAACAAGTTCGAGGTGAGGCAGGCAGTTCTCTTGCCTCATGGCAGGGGGTGCTCAAGAGACTGAAAACATAAGGCAGGAACAGGACGGATCAAGGAAGGCTTTCTTCCCTGGCAGTGATCTCCATTGAGACAGAGAGACTTTTAAAACTGAAGGAAGATAAGGAGGACTTCTATTCATTTATAAGTAAAGGTAAGACAGTAATAACATTTATTTTGTTTTGTTTTTTAAGGAAATGTGTGTTTTGTGAGCTACAGTTTGTATGTGTAAGGATGCAGAAGTGAAACATAACCTGTAAACTGCTGTCAATCTATGCATCTATTTGCAAATCTGATTCTGATGACGTCAGTGCCTCACCAGCTATGAACCTCACCGCACGTCACTGCCGAAGTCAGAAGACAGTTCCAGGTTCAGAAGCCGGTAGAATCCAGGACCAGATGCGACAAACAGAGCAGACTGGGGAAAGGCAAAACTCGAGATCCACAGGACAGAAAACTGGTCAAAATCAGACAGACTAAAGAAAGCTAGGAAACGTCTCACCAAAACACATGAATAACCTGGCGCTGATAGGAGGCAAACACACAACTTAAATAGTAGAGGAACCAGGTGGAAATAATCGGCGATTATCAGCCGCAGAACCAATTAGACAGGGGAGCAAGGAGCAAAGGAAAAAACCAAACCATCAGCGCCGAGATCATGACATATACTCTTTTCTCAATATGTGTACTTTTGTGTTCTCATTCACAAGAACAGCAGACCAAGAATGGACAAAGTCCCCGAATGTTGTTCTCGCCCCTCCCTCTTTACCCAGCATGCATCAGAGTAGACTTGTCCGTTCTTGAGTTTGACAGCTGTCCCAGCATGCACTGCAGCAGCAGCTTCCAGTTGAGCACTCACTGAGCTCAGAGCATTAAGTTAAAAGTTAACGTTTCTGTTGCTGTTGTTCAATAGAAGTGTATTTTGTGTATAAGTGTAATTTGAGGCAGGAACATTATACATTAAAGCGTCACTATACGGTCCATTTACTGATTTAATGCATAATAAAAAACAAGAAACCAAAGTAGAGAGGACTGCGGCAACCAGCGGACCATAGGGGCTAATGGCAGCCAGGTGTAACGTTGGCCCGTCTGCAGCAGTCCTCTCTCAGCATAGCCGTGCGTGAAGGACCTCTGGCTCTGATGGTGAGTTTTTGGTTTTATTTGGCAAAATGTTGATTTGATTTGTCTTCATCTGACTGTGTTCATTATTATTCCCCTCCCCCCCAATAAATGAAAAAGTCAGAATTTATTATTATCTAGAGACTAATAATAACAGGAGGTGAAATGCAGCTGCAGACGAGCTGAGCGTGTGGTGACGTCACGAGTACGCTTCTGTTCCAATTGACCCATATTTATGCTTCGTGCTCCCGATCTCCATGTTTTCCTGTGTTCTTCTCAAGAACATACTTGGCGAGGACCTGTCCATTGGTAATACTGTATATGACAATCCAGTTGACATCCTTCTTCCTAGATGGTGAAAAACTGATGTTGTTTGCAAATCTGTAATAAAACTGAAGCCGTAGAAGAAGCACTCTTACATCAGCTCAACGGTGTTACCATGGAGACTGAATAGCAGCTAGTAAACATGCAGGTTTTTGCTGATCATGGAGTGATATCCACATCTTAAGCTGGGCATACGATATACAAATTTTTTACCCTTTTTAGGCTGATTCTCCAGTCATGCAAGATTTTTTTGTGTAGTATACAGTAGTATACAGGGGGCAAAGAGGGGCGAACAGCCTCTCAGGTCCACCTCCTGATCAGGGATCGTAAGATCAGGAGAAAATCACACTGCGCATGTGTTAACAAGGGAATTCTTCTTCCAGACTGATGAGTCCGACCAGCGGCATCTCTCTGCGCTGAGTCTGACGTGTAGTTTTTGGACGTACAGTGTGAGCAGGTAGATCCCATCAGAGCGTTGCGGCGTACAGTGTGGGAACAAACATCATGAGTGGTTTCATAGCACAGTTTGAGCTGTGGCTGAGTACGATGGAAAATACCGTACAGTGTCTGCCGGGCTTTAGGAAACTTTCACAAAATAAGTTAGGAAAATCAGTATTTTTTTTTTTAAATATGTATAAATGTATAAAATAACTTTATGAGCGCCATGGTACAAACATAACATAGGTATTTATAATTGAAGAGCCGCTTGAGGACAAGTCACAACCCAAAGCCAGGGGCGGAGCTTAACTGGGGGGCCAGTCATTGGCCGCCTCTATCAGATGATCCCATATGCACATAATTCACAAGCACATTGGCATTTGAATTGTTTGTAAATTTATAGTATAATGAAATCACAAATTTTGTTCATTACTCACATCAATATACTAACCTCTTAAACCCTCAGGGGGTATAAATAAATTTCTGCCTGACAAAAACACACAAAAGTAAATCACAGCTATTAGATTTAAGAAGAAACTTTTGGTACGTCTGTAAAGGTAAGATGTCATAGAATGGTTTTCTGGTGTCAGCACCATTGTAGCTTTGACCCTGCCTCAAATATTAGGGACAAGATACAAAATATTTTGCATTTTTTGAATCTCGCCAAAATTTTCTTTGAAATAAACATTGCAAAACACTACCAAAATATTATTTATAGCACAAAAAAGTAGCACAGACTTTTAAATCTAAATGTTGTGTAAAAATATACCAAATTTGGACTCAATCAGATGAATCATATTTATTTTAGAATGGTATTAGTGAGAAATTTCTTAGGCGGAGGGGCCATTTTGGCACATTTATCCAAAAATGTCACCAAACTGTGCCAAATGTGTTTTTTACATCAATACTGGGGGTTTGTTAAAATTACAAGGTCACGTAGCAGCTGGACCCACCGGTGGGTCCGTAGGGTTCTAGGGGTAACATTAAAAATGATTAATAGAGAGTTTATGCAGAACTAGCTTTTGTGTTTATGGGGTTGAAGAGAAAGTTATGTGTAACTGCAGGCCATCTAGAAGTTTTTAATGTCATTAGAGATAAATAACTAAATCTATTTAATGAATGAATGAAAGATGTAAATATTTAGATGATTCAGAACAATTATTGATAAAAGTAGAGTGAACAATGTAGGTAAGTAATGACAACAAATAAGATAATCCTACCAGAACCCAGGACTGAAAACACTAAATACATGAATTTATTAACATCTAATTTGTCTTTTTTTGGAAATTGTGGATGTGGTGCTTATTCCTTTGCCTGTTTGTACTGTGTAGAAGTTGAGCCTGAGTTGGTTCTGACGTCTATCCACTTTCTGCAACCCTGCCTGGCCACTCCTGTAAATATGCGCCAGCTCTCACTGATTGCAAATCTTCAAGGCCCACAACAGTAGGAAGGGTTCAGCGTCTGCATGACTCTGAAGCTGAAGGAATTGCTGCCTGTATCTGTATCTGAGGGGGAGGCACATCCTACATACTGGAGCAGCAGTGTGCATGTACTGCCAATTCTGCTGTTATATTTTATTTGATATCATAATCAAAGCATTTCCCAATCAGCATTTACATTCTATAAGCTCTTAGATTGTATACTTCCATAAATCTTAACAAAGATGAACAAGCAGGAGGAAGAAGCTTAATGAGTTTGATAAGATCATGCATACAAAACAATTTAAAACTTTAAAGGAAAAGTCTGGTCATATTCAGAATTCAATCTTCTAAAAGTACTTTAAATATGAAATTATTACATACTGTTCAATAAATGATAAGTGTTTTTAATGAAGAGTAATTTTCATTTGAATGTGCTTTACTGGAGGCATCCATGTTTGTCAAAGAACACTACTGCCCCCTACTGGTTGTCGTGACGTCACGGTGCGGTATCGGCTGTTGATCAAGTCCCAGTGCTGTATCTGGTGTTTGTCACAATGCGCTATTATCCAAGTCATCTTGAAAACATTCTTCTTCCAAATGTTGGCTACATATTACGTGTTTTTTCTCTGGCCAGAAGTTCGATGGCAAATCCTCCCTCTTCAAGTTGGCGATCCAACGACCAACCCGTCCGTGTAGGATCAGGAATCGGAAAGTTGAATAACTAATTTTTTTTCCCTTTTACCTGATGTATTCCAACATCCAGCTGCCATGCACGTGGGCATTGTCAGTTTCACTATAGCTCTGGTGAATTTCAATGGTGAAGTCCTCTGGAAATCTTCAATAATTGTTGTTGATTGCAGATGTGTCTAGTAGTTCCCATTGATTTTGCTTGTAAAGCGGGGAGAATGGCGCTAGGCTTACCGCATCGTGACGTCACTGCTGGAAGACAGCAGGAGTGAGGTGTTACTATATTTGTTGGGATCTGGAGATGGTCCACCTTTTCCCCAGCAGAGTGCGCCGTGGGTTCTCTGGGCTGGAGCTCACCAGCACACCTGGAGCTCGTCAGCCCATTAGAGGACCCCTCTACTTAAGCAGATGCCAGACCTTTCTTCGACGCCGCAGTGTTAGCTAAGTTTGGTTAGCGAACCTGAGCCTCCTTGTTTTTGAATTTTGTCCTCTAGAGAAAACTGAATTCTAACCAGCCTTTGTCTTGTCGCTCCTAGGAAAACCTGTCTCTCGTGTGAAGCTCTGGGAGAGCTTAACCTGAATCTGCCTGCCTGCCCTAGAGAGCCAAACCTGAAGATCTCACTTTGGAATCCACCTGCTGCTCTCGGAAGGAGAGCTAACCCCTCAATCCAAGGTCTGATCCAACAGTCAGAAGTTAGACGCTGCACCTGCTGAGCACTCTGTCAAACCAACAGTCTCTGGACCCAACCGGTTCCCCCCCTCTGAGAAGAAAGCCTGAAGCTCTCCAAGGTATAGTCAGCAATAATCTGAAAACTAAACAACGCTTCCTATCCACCTGGTTAACCAAACTGTCATCTCTGCAGATGCCTGAGAATCCAGCCCGAACCTGTTTCCTGAACGCAGTCTAATTTTGTGCAAACATTTAATAAACTCTGTTAAACTTTTCATCTGTCTCCTGGTAGTGTTCTGCATGTGGGTTTGATTCGGAACCAATCATGACAATATTTGGGCAAAAATGGCCGCTCCCAGACTCAGTGATATGAAAACGAAAAATATTGTCTTTATTTTTTACTGATTAAATTACATTCATTAACTCACTGTGAATGTATTTGTTTTAGGTATAAATAATGATCCGTTGATTATTCCTTGCTGACCGGACTTCTCCTGTAATAAAAGATTCACTTTAGATGTTTGGCTATTCATCCTTCAAAAACTGATCATAAAGTAAGATAGCTTTTGAAAATGCTGAGTTACTTTTAAAGGAGAGCGGCCTTATACTAATAAAATATTAGGGAAGGACACTCCAGGCCGCGTCCTCATCAGTAAGCCTCTGGTGAATCCCAGGCTTGGATGCTGCAGCTTAGCTTGGCAGCAATAAACAGAGAAAATGAAGAGAAATTGTTGTCGCCCGCTTTTTACCTCAGAAATCTGCCTCACTAGTTGAAGACAGTAATTGTACATCTCATAAGCTGTCAGCCTCATGTGGCCACATGTAATTTCTTTGTCTCTGTTACTCCTCCCTTTTCCCTCGCTCAGATTTTTCCCTCCTCGCTCATCCTTCTATCCTCACAGAGTCGCTTTCCTCAGCGGTGGCACGTCAGGACTGATTCGCTCTGACAATGAGCCACTCGCGCTAATTTACTCATTAATGCTAATATGATTGACATTTCATTTCAGCACGCTCCCCTCCCCTGCTACTGATAGGGTTGGTCGAGGCAGCCAGTAATCACTGACAGGGCCATTAAAAGGAGATTGCATGCATTTATCTCTGTAATTCAGAGGGTTCCTTTAATTTGGCAGCGTAAAATTGTCAATCTTGGAAGTGTAATCGGCCTCATTCCCATTTAAGAAAGGGACTAAAAATAAATAAGAGCAGGGTATGTTTTCCTTCTCTGTGGTTGGATGCCAAAGCAGATGCAGAGGCACAAAATGGACGATAGACCCTGATGAGAGGTTCACTATGCTAACAGGAAACGGGATGTTGCATAGTAACCAGAAAATAAATGTTATTATTTTTTTTTCTACATGCGAACATGAAGTTAATAGATTATCAAAGCAAGCACATATTGAAAAATAGATTTTTTACAGCTTAAACATTGCAAATAATTTGTATCCATGGTGTTGGATAGACCTAGTAAAGGATTGTAGCATCTGGTGGCATCTTTAGGAGCAATTAAAGCTTCTGCTCAACCTAAAATGCAGGAGAAACAGAACTTGTTATTTCAGAATGGAAAAAGGGCAAACAAAACTATAGCTTATAAGAAAAGTCAAACAATATGTAATGGACAATGTCAAATATGGACATTTTTTTTTCTCCTAATCACCATTTCCTTGCTTTATTATAAAGTATGTTATATAACGAGAAGCAAAAATAGGCCGCTGAGTTAAACTCAGTAATAAATGCTGTCTAGAATGGCTGCAGGCCAACTTGGTCCTCAGACTGGAACGTGATTAACCATCTAATATAAGCATAATGGTAATCTCAATCTTTCTTAATTGGCCTGCACTACTGTGGCAGCTTTTAGCATGGGGTTGTTTTATGATAGAAGCGACTCAGCATGGACTACTGTTCAAAACCTGTGGCTACAAAACTCATTAAATATTGACTTCCACTGTCCCTTCAGATTAAAGTGCCTCCAGCTTAAAATGAAATAAATAAAAGAAAAGCATATTAATTTTGATAAATGTTGCATGATTTTACTTTCCATACCAAAATCATAAATAGTATCAGTACTTTATTTTTTTTATGTGATGTCCAAAGTTGATCAGAAGTGAGGCTAAAAGGGATTATTCATTGTACAAACATTAAGATTAATTAATGCATTTATTACTTTAGAGTATTAATTTGTTATGAAAGTTGTTTTCTTCCGACCCCGTAGACAAGCACTTGCCTTCAAAGCGAAACCACATTCCTCTGGGTTCTGCCAATTATATGACATCACTGTAGTCTCTGAGGCAGACGCACTGTCTGCTTTTAAGGCCACGCTTAAAACGTTCCTTTATGGTAAAATTTGGAGTGGCTCAAGTTATCCTGGGCTATCTCTATAGTTATGCTGCTATAGGCTTAGACTGCTGGAAGACATTAGGACCACCTTTATTCATCCTGCTTCCTTCTATCTCTGTTCTCCCATTCTGCAGTATTTGCTAGTTTAACCCCTAACTTTTATTGAGTTTCATTTGAGCTTCTGTTTGGCCATGACTTCATCCTGGAGAGAAATATTGCTGCTGCCATCAATTCCTTTACTTATACATCATGGAGTTTTCTGTGTTTTTCAGTGCTTTATCCGTAGACATTTCATAGACTTTGCTATGGGCTCAACTTTTACTTTTGTTGGGATCTGGAGATTCTCCACCTTCTCCAGCAGAGTGCGCTGTGGATCCTCCTGGGCTGGAGCCCTCCAGCACAGCTGACGCTCATCAGCTCATCAGGAGACCGGCCTTTATAAGCAGCTGCCAGACCTTGCTTCGACGCCGCAGTGTTAGCCAAGTTTGGTTAGCGAACCTGAGCATCTGAATTTACTAATAGTTATCTTCCTAGAGAAACCTTATTCTAATTGTCTCTGTCTTCTCGCTCCTAGGAAACCAGTCTCTCGAGAGAAGCTCTGGATGAGCTTAACCTGAATCTGCCTGCCTGCCCTAGAGGGCCAAACCTGAAGACTACATTCTGGAATCCACCTGCTACTCTTGGGAAAGAGCTAATCATTTCAACCAAGGTCTGTTCACTGGAAGTCAGAAGTAAGATGCTGCTGCTGCCTAAGCACTCTGCTGAACCAACAGTCTCTGGACCCAACCGGTTCCCTCTCTCAGAGCAAAACTGGACCTCTTCAAGGTATCCACTGAAATTTCTGAAAACCCATTTAACTTATCTGCATACCCAGCTAACCAACTATCCGTCTCTGCAGACGCCAGAGAATCCTGCCCGGACCAGAACCTGAATCTTGTCTTGTTTGTGTGAAACTTTAATAAACTCTGTTAAACCTTTTACCAAGTCTCAGTGGTGTTCTGCATGTGGGTTTATCTCTAAACCGATCATGACAACTTTAAATTTAATACGTCAGTTTGGTTTTGAAAAACTCCAGCTTGCAAACATTGTTCTTAAACCAACCAAATCCCAGCTGAACACAATTTAATCTAACTGCAGGAAAGATTGGTCTGAACGTTAGAAAATATGGAAATGTGTATTTTATAATATGTAAAATGTCTGGATTTGGTTGAAAAAGGGAAATCACCAATGATTAGAAAATAGTTATGAGGTTAATATATTTGAGGAACTCGAACAGACATTTTCAAGCATTTCTTTTAGTCAATTATGCAGATTTTTCAGCTTACAGCTAATTAAATTAAGGTTCCCTAATCTTTGAACATTACATCAAACCAATAAAACAATAATAAGTAATAATAAAGCATACTACAGCAATAAAAAAATAGGTTTAATATTGGCTTAAGGTAGGTTTGTTTTTCAAGGTTTATTTTTTTGTTTGACATATGAGTCCCATCAGAACGCATGTTCTAATATACTATGTCTGTGTACAGTTATTTGATCATTTCATTAAGAGCACCATTGTTCTACAGCGTGATTTGAATTGTTGCAAAAAAAACAGAAGAAAAGTTCATGAATGCACATTAGAAGCACACGATACATCAAAAGGACCACACAAAAAGAAACGTTAAAATGGAAAATTTTGAATAAATAAAAAGCACAGACATGATAGACGTAAACTGATAAACCAAACTTTGACCTTATTCAGTTGCTTTAAATTAGTTTTTCATTTCATTTATAAAAAACAAACTTCTCCAGGGTTTTCATTGAGTTGTTTCCAGAGCTGAGGAGCACAGATATGCGACATGAACCGCCCTTGTTTAGCTGTGACCTATGAACACTGAGTGAAAAAGGTCTGAGGGGTTCTACGAGGGTCACAAGTGAACAGCCGTTCTATTTAGGCCCAACAACATTTGGAACCTGATGGACAATAAACAATCTCCACTTTTAAACAGAAAGCAAGTGCATTTATTTAAGGACTAAGTGACATGTTGAGTATTCCTGTTTTTTTTTTAGCTGTATTTTTATTTTCTTCCCTACTGGATTTTATTTTAACATTTGCAGGAAAAGTATTGAGGGAGAAGGGAAATTCACATGCAACAAAGCTCATGATTAGCTGCATTGAGGATTCAGATCATGGTTTGGGAAATTAACCCCTGAACAACAATTTAATTTTTCAGAGCTCTGTTTTGACACAGAGGAAGAAAAGAAATAAACATACGCAACAACAGATACCCTGATTGCTACGGGCCTGAATAGAAAGTGAACCAATAATTAAACAAGCAGTTTAAGAGCACATGAAAAAAACTGTTAGAACACTTAAACCTACACCTTGTTGAAGCAACTTTTTTTTAGATTCCATATTCAGTGTTTAAGAGTTCTTATCTCCCATGAGTGACATTAAATCTTCACCTGATACTAAACTTGTCGTCACAACATTTGCATCCAAAAACCACAATTTCCGTTGTACAAAGGTTCCAGAATGAAAAGAAATACTAAAGATAAACCTGTCATTAAATATGTGCTGCAGTAGGGTGAATTAACTAATATCGAAAGTTGCTTCATCAGTGATGAAAAATGGGATTAAAACAATTCAGGAAGGCTGCAGCGATAAAGAGGCTGGAGAAATGATTGAGTTGTGATTATCTGAAGCCCGTCAGACCTGTGAGAGAACATGTCATGGTCTGAAGGTACCAAACTTGAGTTGTGGTTAATTTTCTTTTCTTTTTTATATCTGTATAGTTACTAGTAACTTGTTTGGCTGTGACGCCATCCTGGAGAGAGATCACAGCTATGCTGCTGCCATCAACACCTTTGTTTATAGATGTTGGAGATCTGCCTTTTTT